ACATGGATCTATGGGTTGATAGTTGTCCAGTTCATCCTGTAAAGCTATCAGATTCCCATAGTATTCTGTAACAGTTTGGTTACCTTGCTTAATGGTACCAATAGACTAGATTAACTCTGCAATTCGAATCATATCACCTTGACCATACCTAGATTTGAGGCTGAGCCAGGCTTCAGAAGCGAGCTTGCAAGACATGATGGTCTTCTTGATGCCAGGTTCGACAGCTTGTTGGATCTAGCTGAGTACCATGACATTGTTTCTTGTCCTAGAAGAGAACTGAGCATCTGTGGCTGCAGGGGCAACAATGGTGCCATTGACGAAGCCAAGCTTGTTCTTGGCGGCTAAGGCATTGAGCATCGTCTTACTCCAGTCATTGTAGTTGGTGGTGGTCAGCTTCTCACCTACCAACAACAATCCTGGTTGATCGGAGCCATGGAGATAAAAGGGATCCGCGAGAGGATCCATGTTTTGTGGGTGAGTAGCCATTTGAGGAGGCGGCGGCTAGGGTTGCTCTGATACCATAACACCAGATGTGCAATTGAAACGCTAACTTAATTTTCTCATTGATGATTGTGTTCCTTATATACAGGGATCGATAAATAGAAGACAAACAGCTCTTGGCTGTGTTTACAGACTGTGAAAAACAGAGGATGCGGAGTTTGGAGGGAACAGAAAACAAAAGGGTGAAAGAGACGTTGGAGTGCTACGACGACGTTCTGCTGAGGATGTTCTCTATTATGCGAGACGGCGACGTTGCAGTTGAGGAACATGAGGTCTTTCTCGAGACGACGTCGCTCCACCGAATTGGCTTAGTAGCCGTTGCGATTTGGGGCGAAAATTTGACATTTTCGTCTGATATCCGCTGCACCACAATAACAATTTGTGCCAATTGATATTCGAATTAATATTAGATTTAATATATCCATTTTTGGCTAGATACAGCAAGGGGTTCCAATTGAGGGAGACCCATTCGACGCTGAGCATCTTCCAAAGCCGCCACTACGGCGAACTTGTTATTAAATCCAGAGAAAAGGTTTACAGAAGAACACCGATTCAATCTCCCGGCTTCATAGTCCTCACCGTCGTTCACGAGATGGAAAGCTGAGTAAGGGAACGGAGGAGAGGCGGATGAAGATAAAGAGCGGCGGAGGGGGAGCTTCTGTGGTGGGTTTGGAGGCCTTTTGTTCGACCTAGGCCTTAGCGGTTGTTGAGAATTCACACATGTATACAGATTACAGTGGAAGAAGTTGGTCTCTCCTTTGTTTGCTTGACGCTCTGCAAGACTGCAACTTATTGTTGGTCGGCGGTGGATGAAAGAGGAAGACTCATATTTTGATTTGGAAAGTGAGGTAGCGGAAGAGAATGAAGCTAATCAACTTTTTTTTTGGGTAATTCATAATTATAATATTTTTTGTTTTAATTTATTGCGATAATGAGGTGGAATTTTGAAAGATTAAATTTTATTATTTTTAACTGTCACGTCCCTTATTTAATGGTTAATTATCAGAGTTGAAGCTAAATTTAATGGAGACTAACAGAGAGTGACCAAACTTGAATTGTTGTACTAATTTGAGTGAATATGGATGAAATAAATTAATTTTAGTGAAAACGCGAAATTTTTAAATAATCCGTAATAGTAATTAGTCATATACATAAAAATATGATGTGGAAATTAAAAATTAAGTAATATATTTAAAATAATAATAAAAATATTACGGATTATTAGATTTTGATTATAAATTTAAAACGTTATAAAATTTATAAATTGAGTTTTGATTATGGGTCTAAGATAACTTATTTTTTGACGTATGTTTCCTAAATAGAACAAAAAAGGTAATTGATGATGCCTCATTATTATCATTATTAAATTTGTTGCTTCAACTTTTTTCATTTTCATATTTCCAAGGGGGAAAAGAATTAAATTTTGTCAATTAATCTGTTTGTACTACCAAGGCAGTAATGCTAAATTAAATAAATAATTCGCATTGGTTAATTAAACGTTAACCAAAATAGTTAGGCACAAGCCACCAATAGTATAAAGGAAAAAAATAACTAAATCAATTATAAATAGTTTGACATTATGTGATATGACTAATTCTTGTTGTAAGGCTATAGATTTTTTTTTAATTATTCAACGTATTTATATGATTTTTTTTTTAATTTTAATCTTTTTGAAACTTGTCGATTGTTTTCCTAATGCAAGCATATTTTATAGAATTTTATTAACTATTCAGGTGACTGTTGCTACAACAGGAAGAAGCTTTTCAAAATTGAAGTTGTTGAAATCTTATATGCGCTCTAGAACGACATAAGAGAGGTTTAACAGATTAGCTATGTTAGCAATTGAGAATAACTATTTGGATGATGCAAATATGAAAGAGCTAATAGAGGATTTTCTTTAAAATAGTATTAGATTGTTGTTACTTTTTAAACAAAGATAGACGATTTTATTTCTTCTGTAATCACTTTTTAAACTTATGTATTTCTTATTATTATTTAATAATTTTAATTTTTAATAAATTTACGAGAGAAAATTTTAGGGCTATATTTTAAATTTTCGAACAGTGCCTCAAAATATCCTGGGCCGGCCCTGCACGTGAGTATTAACCTACCCCATCCATGCTTAGTGTGGGACGAATATGAGTATTCATGTATCCGCGCTAGGGGTGTTAGTTCGGGTCGAGTTCGGTTACCCAAACCAAAACCCGAAAAAACCCGAAAAACAGAAACAAAAATCACTAAAACCGAACCCGATAAGGACTTGCGGGTTCCGGTTACCCGAAACCCGAAAATTCTTTATTGGGTTCGGGTTTGGTTAAAGCAAAACCGAAACCCGAACGCCTAAAAATACGGGTTGAGTTCTATTCATTGGAGGTTTTTAGCCGGAGTCCGAAAAATTGATAAGCAAAACCGAACCCGAAACCAAAAAACCTGAAATGAACCGAACCCGAAAAACCGAAAATGTATATAATCGGGTCGGTTTCGGGTAAACCCGAAAAACCGAACCCAAATTGACACCCCTAATCCGCGCACCAGCTCCATTATCATCATTAACTCAATTTTTTTTTGCCATAGATAGATCGTAAATAGATAGGGTGTTACAATTCTTGAAAATTAAAGGCGGTAATCAACCTAGTGTTGAGCTACCGATGCAAGGAACGTTTTTGGCACTAAATGGGAAACCCTGTTAGTATGCCTAGAACCATAAATAAACGAAAAAACACAAAGGAAGTCGTCATTCGACAAATTTCTTGATGCACCCATCCGCCAAGTACTGCCTTCATATCTCCTATAAGTCAAGCTTCAATAGGCCAACAATCGAGTTGTTGTGCAAGCTACCTGCAAGATGAACACAAACGACCCCTAACGGATCAAAGCAAATTTCAAGTACCAACGGACCTCTACCAAAGATGCTCCACAAGCTCTATGAACTACTCCGCACGCTGTGAAGTCGTCGGAGAACGATGGAACGAATCCCTGCAGAGGAGCCTTGTCGGCGATGGTACCAAACAGTCGCACGAAGACGAAAGCGGCGAGATTGGGGAAAACCGATGGAAGAAGGCACCAACCTTATTTTCTAAAAGAGTTTGAAATTATAATTGAAAACAAATAATAATAAAAAAGGGGAAAAATGGGGGGAGTTAGTAAAACTTATTGAGCAAAAGAAGTGTAGCAAGTGGCAAACTCAATCAAATAAAAAACGTGAACGTGCAGTTATGATAAGGGTGTTGAGATTTTTAGTGGTGTGAATGGAAATAAAAAGGGGAAAGTTTCAACAGAGTCTCTTGAAGTACCATGTTGGTAAGATGTGGGAAGGCACGACCTCGAATTTGATCGATTTGATGTAATATGTGGTTAATCGGTTAAATTGGTTTGTGTACCAAACAGACCAAACCAAACCGAGTTGAACCAAATCGAACCGAACCGATGTGGCAGTTGGAATAACCAAATCGGTCCAACTACCATGGGCCGAACCGATGCAATGGTTGATTATTTCAAACATGAACCAATGTGTTGGTTGGGGGTGTAACCACCCATATGAAGAGTCGCCTCCCTTCGTACGCACCCCTTCATTTTCTATAAATAGCACCTAACCCCCTCTGGTTTTTATATAGAGTTTTTTTTCGATACGAAAATTCTGCTAAAATCCAAAACTAGTTTTCTGCATTCTTTTCAAAGAGAAAATAGAGTCAAGTGTGGTTCTCGCCGGTTCGCTGCGTTCGATGGGTTCCGGGGTTTGAGGTACCGCTACGCCGGAAAAGGTACGTCCTTTCTATCCTGGGAGGAATCATTCCATAACCTTGGGTACTAGAGGGGAATAAGATTCTTTAAGGAGAGATAGTGAATTCTATCGGCTAGGACGCTTGCATGTGTCTTTGCATGTTTTCTTAATCTTATGTGTTTGCTTGTGTTGCAAGAAAATAGTATACGTGAACAATTTTCCCAGCATGACGTTTTCTCACTGTGCAACCGTCCATTGAAGCATTGCATTGATTCGGGAGAAAATTGGGTGGCGCATTATAAATATTAGTGGCCGAATGATGAAAAGTGGAAACCATATTCCTAATATTCTTCTTTCTACTCCCCATAAGCAAGACGACTTCAATCGAACGCTCCTGGTTGGTTAATTCTTTTTGGTTGATCACCATAGAGGGAAACGAGTAGTTCGACAGTCTGATACCATTCTATCCCTATCCTTTTCTAAGTATGTGTATACATATGTGCCTCACTGTGTACGTGAATACATATACATTTACAATGCATTATAGAAATTTGGTTCATGCTTTGCTCCCATGTGTGATGAGTCCGAATTCAATTAGGTTGGCTGGAAATGCATGTTATGAACTGTTAGTTGAGTGAGATTTGGTAGTCATTGCGAAACAGGTAATAAACTATCTTTGTCCCTTCTTTGATGCCTATATATTCGACTGTTGTATATATGTTTGTTCTATTCTGGAAGACCTCGAGTATATACATATATAGACAAAGCAGTAGCTTTTACATCTTTTCTTGGAAATATGTTCATATATAATTGGGAGCAAGATGAGATTCATGCATGGAACATGTTCATATGGGTCATAGTGAGTAGAAGCAAATAATTTATGTTCTTATATGCATATATTTGCCTCTGAAAGTTCTATGCCGTGTACATATATATTTGTGATGGAGATGATTCTGTTATTCACTTTGCGCTCTTGAAGTGAATTGGCCAAGATGGCTGGAAGCATTCCAAAGCCGAAGCACCCCGTCAATGTTGATGAAGATGACGATGACGTCGTAGAGGTCATCAATATTGAACCAGATCCGGAGATCATTGATCTCTCTACTCTCGAAATGGAGTTTGACAATGAAGAGTGGTTCGATTTTTTTGACGATAGCGGGGATTGGCTATATAATGACATTGGTGGAGAGCATCCAACCAATTATTGGACTCTAGATGATATACCCATCTATGATTGGTACTCACTGGGTCCTAATGTGGACGATTTGGGCACCCATGTGGACTCGATGGAGAATATGGGGGAAGAAGAGAAAGTTGAGGAATCGGGGAACGAGGAGGAGTACTCCGACATAGAGACTAATGAATGTCTCTCTGATCCTGACTTCGACCCCAAGAATCCTTAGGATTCTTGTATATGTATTGTAATCTCCTTTGAGGAGTAGACATATGTATGTGTGTATATATACATATGGTATTAATACGTGTGTACCTATGTAAGTCTTGTAATTACATGATGAATAAAGGACAAATGTTCTTATCTCCCAAGTGGAAAATTAGTTGGATAAAACCTTACGAGTTTGTTTGGTTACAAAATTAACCACAAAGTTTTAATGCTTTTATTGCATTGGTCCATTTCATTTTTGAAGCATGGATGAATGATAAATGTGCCAATTTAATTTGGACACTTTTTCATTCCAGGTGATGCATGAGATGATGGAAGTACTTATGATAGTGCTTCATGGACTCTAAGTAGTTTGGATAGTAATAAACTATCAAGTGGGAAACTATGAACAATCATAGGTATGCGAAACCTATGACGAGCGGCCAGTAGGGACTTGTTTGTCAAGTCTATCTAAGCCAGAATGTTTGCATAAGTTATGTTCAAAGTAAGTTGAACATAGTTATGAAAGAGTATACCTCCAATGTGTTGGAGAGAAAGTTTGGTTAATGCACGTTTAAAGGTTTGCATTACGAGTAAGCCATAAGTGATAAGGAATTCTAATTCCTAAGATGCTTGTGATGACATAATAATTTGTTTATTATGTATGTGGTTTAGGATTTGATTTTTCCTATGCCACGAGGGCAAGGAAAATGAAGCTATGATTGATCCTTATAGGGATTTAATAAGCTTACCAAATGATGGTGGTCATCAAGATAAGCATTAGGTCAGAATTGTTTATGGTATAAGTACACTATACTATTGGAAAACAATTTGACTATGATTAACAACGTGGAGCTAGTTGCCAGAACTGTTTATGGTATATATAGATATATATCATTGGAAAACAATTTGGCATGAGAGCTCAATTGAGATGATCTTATTGAACTTAAAGTCTGGATTACTAATGGTACAGTTAACCTAGTCCAAGGGTATAACTTATGAGTAAACTCTAGCATATATTGACGTTATGTCAGAGAGCTAGAATATTTATTGATATTGATCCACTCTTCCCAAAGAGATGATTTTGACCATATACATGTATCTATATGAACAACATTCCCAAACCGGAAACGTTGGTTTCAACAACTATGCCGAAATAGTTGAAATGTGGGGGATTAATTGGGGAGAAGTGATGTGGAATGTCGCTTGGGTGATTCCAAAGTGAAGTGATGTGAATACTTAGGAGTTTTACGTAAACCCTAAGTTAAGTCATAGATGTCACTACATTTGAAGAGATACTTGTGAAACTCAAGTACTCTAAGGTTAATGAAGTAGAGAGACTTCAACACCGTTGGCATATCAAGGCAAACACATAAGATGTGTAGTGAATTGAAAAGAGACGAGTCTTTGGTGAATTTTACCAAAGGAACTCACTGGGTGAACCAAAAGCCATAGTCCATTAATGGATAGGCATTTATGGTTAACGAGGAGCAGTATCTTGGAAAACGTCCAAGTTAAACTCTAAGACCAGTGAAGTTGAGTAGTTTGGCCTGCATAGACTGGCGTTAATAAACGCACTTGTGCACAAAATGGTGATTGCAAGGGCTAGAAGTGTTATGTGAAAAAAAAAACTCGTCGTAGAAACATAACATTATTGATTGGTTAATTTCTAGCGAAGTTATTGGAGATGATCGGTTTAGATCAATTGATAACAAACGTGTGGCCCATTTAGAAATTAATTTAAGCATCGAAGGGAATGGACTCGTGGCCTAGGACTAATCATCATGGCGGTAACTCTACCTAAGCAGGATTGGCAGACCCAACCTCTAGGTTCAAGGAGAAAACAAAGTTGTGAATGATGGTCCGACATTGTCAAATTATTCAAAGTCCATTCTCATGATGAGACAATGTCCAACTATAAGGGTAAACCTAAAGATGGAAGGTTTTTAATGGCTTCTAAGTTTGACACAGGATGTGATCAAATAGTGTATTTTCGGAATACATGTTTAGAAATCACCTATGTGAGTGTGAAGTGGAGCCGCTTCAAGGAGAATAAAAGAAGACCAGTTCTCTAAGCACTCATGAGACCAGGCGGTGTTCATGGCTAAAACGAACACAACAATGAGAACCAGTATACGGATAAGAGTCAGTTGTGTGACATATGTTGTCTTAGTATACAAGCAAAACCGACGGTTCAAAGATATCACATCTACCGATTGGTGAGTATACTCGATATATGTTCACTAAGGAAGGTTCAAAAGGAAACCTACCTATTCCGATGCAACTAATTCTTAGTCGAGAATCACACGATTTTTTGCATAGTTTTTAAAGTACAACATTCTCCATTCATGTGGGGGATTGTTGGAATTTTTAGTGGTGTGAATGGAAATAAAAAGGGGAAAGTTTCAAGAGAGTCTCTTGAAGTACCATGTTGGTAAGATGTGGGAAGGCACGGTCTCGAATTTGATCGATTTGATGTAATATGTGGTTAATCGGTTAAATTGGTTTGTGTACCAAACGGACCAAACCAAACCGAGTTGAACCAAATCGAACCGAACCGATGTGGCGGTTGGAATAACCAAACCGGTCCAACTACCATGGGCCGAACCGATGCAATGGTTCATTATTTCAAACATGAACCAATGTGCTGGTTGGGGGTGTAACCACCCATATGAAGAGTCGCCTCCCTTCGTACGCACCCCTTCATTTTCTATAAATAGCACCTAACCCCCTCTGGTTTTTATATAGAGTTTTTTTTCGATACGAAAATTCTGCTAAAATCCAAAACTAGTTTTCTGCATTCTTTTCAAAGAGAAAATAGAGTCAAGTGTGGTTCTTGCCGGTTCGCTGCGTTCGATGGTTTCCGGGGTTTGAGGTACCGCTACGCCGGAAAAGGAACGTCCTTTCTATCCTGGGAGGAATCATTCCATAACCTTGGGTACTAGAGGGGAATAAGATTCTTTAAGGAGAGATAGTGAATTCTATCGGATAGGACGCTTGCATGTGTCTTTGCATGTTTTCTTAATCTTATGTGTTTGCTTGTGTTGCAAGAAAATAGTATACGTGAACAATTTCCCCAACAAAGGGAAATGTAAAAAGGTGTAAACGATAATTATGAAAACCGGAACACCAAAAGAAATAGATGAAAATTAAAAAATTAAATTAATAATGCTTATCTTGGACGGTTGGAATCCACCCGGTTTGTAAGTTGTAACCGTCCTTCCACGAATGAGAGATGGAACTGCACAAGAATGGAACCGTCGGTCATATTGCGGTCGTCGAAAAGTGGCCATCCGTCAGAAAGATTCGCCGTTCCCGGTACCCCAGCACGCAACTCTTTTGAGACCTGCAAAAAAGATAGGCAGAATCTCCCGGAAAAAGGATTTGATGGGTGGAGGAAAGCCAAAAGCGGCGACGCATGATGGCGTTGGGCAACAAACTGCTGGAGCGCACGGTGGCGATAATGAGTGTAATCCCCAATAACGAACACAATCGAAATCCCCAATTCCGTCCGTGTTTCTTCGAATCGTTTCCCAGCCATGGATCCCAATCGCACGATCTTGAGCTTCGGCTACGATCATCAAGCGGTGCGACTGTCGGACTCGCGAGCGACGAATCGTCTCCCGGATCTGCATCCTCCTCGAGCGAACCCGAACTTGGATCGGAGCCAAAGATGCATAAGGTCTAGGAAGCCGCCGCCGCCTACAAAAGCGGCGACGAGGTCCCCGATGACGATGATGCAGGTGACAGCGACGAGGAAGAAGAGGAAGAAGAATTCTATCATCATTAACTCAATTGATTGGATGCATTTGTAAGAATGGAACCCAACTAAAAAATAATTTGAACAAACACCCAGCTAGTACTACATTTAATGTCTACTTCTATGAAATTTAAATATAAGTTTCTCGGTTCCTTTGGTTTGAAAATGGATGTTACTTAGTAGTGGATATAGAAATTTTACATAGGGGTGTCATTTTTCAAAATTAAATTAAAATGATAATTAAATAATTTTTGGATAAAAAACTAATTTGTACAAAAGACAACAAAGCACATGACATGGTCGTATTTTTGAAAAATTGTAAAATACAATTGTTGTCTAACAACTATCGATATATCCTACTAAACAAGGGAAGCCTATGATTGTGTTTGATTGTTAGTTTTTGAAAATAATTGGAGATCAGAAATAAATTTTTACTATTATATTTGGATTTAAAATATAAGAAACGGAAACTCTCGGAACAGCTGGAGTAATAAGTCTCCAAATGAGCCTTTTATGGGCAAATGAGTTGTAGTCTAATGAAAAATATGTTTACTTAGCAGCGACCCAACTTCAAATCACCTAGATTAACATTTAAAAGTTTTTATTTACCCAGTCGCCACTTTTGCAAATTTTATCAGTGTCCCGCTACCACTTAAATATTTTTTATCCATATGTAAGCTACTATCGGTGGTTGAATCATCGTGTTCTCAAATTTTAGCGGTGTCTTGGGACACCCCCAAAACTCCATGGATCCACCACTGATCGTACATTAGATTTTTCTCCAACAATTACTCCAATAATTATATTTCCGATTTGATCTATCTTGATATGAAATTTAGGTTAGCTTCTATCATCTTGATGATCTGAAAGATAGAGATATGTAAGGAAAAATAAAAGTTGAGTTTTTAGTTGAAGGGTAAGTGTTTTTTTCCATCTTTAAGCTTTGAGATTGGAGTACTAGTTACTGTCTTGTAGAACTCAGGTCCAGCAAACCAGTACTGTAAAAGCCTAAATGGGCCATATAAAGAGAGAAACAAAAACACATTTTCAAAAGGCTTTTTCTTCTTCTTCTTCTTCTTCTTCATTTGCTTTGCTGTAGACTGTAGTGCCATATATTGATAGCTCAACTGCACCTTACTCCCACACAACACATGGTCCATTTATGGAATTGCTGTGACTTGGTGAAAAAATAATGGTTCCCAAACCGTTTGGGGTTGGAGCCCTCCCCAATCCCATCAGGCCATCACCCATAATCTCTAATGGGTCGTTGCCCCTTGTCATGAAAACCATAAACATTATGATTTCGACTTTTATCGGGAGAGAGAGAGAGAGAGAGAGAGAGAGAGAGAGAGAGAGAGAGAGAGAGAGAGAGAGGTGCAATGATAAAAAAGTATAGATAGATAATAGATTCATGGTGCAAGCTGGAAAAGTAGCAACTTTCCAGGACAAAGTTGCGACCGTACGTGTCATTTTTCTCCTAAGAAAGGAAGTTCTAAATCAGGGAATGGGAAGCAGGAAACTCCCTGTTGTCCTTGAAATGATAGAAAAAGAGCTTCTTTGTGAGAAAATATCACCGCAGGAAATTGTATGCCTTTGCAACAGAGCATCTATCAGTAGAATTAAGCATGTCGAGGAGCTGCAGTGACAAGAACACTGTCATTCTAGATCTGGAAAATCCTGTCAGGTTTGTAACAACCTTTCACCATCAACCGAGAGCAACTGTTAACCTTCCCAGCAGAATAGTATGAGATTGCTTATTGGATTCCGTTTGTTAATTACGTGGAACGAGTTTCATTTGACTAGGAGGCTAAAATAATTATACAAAGCTTTTTTATTTAGTTGGGATGAAACAATAGATCTTAATTTGCAATTTGCAAAGCAGATTAAATCATAAAGAGAATATTATTATACATTTTTTTTAGAGAAGAACATTATCATACATTGACAGAGCATAATAGGGGAAACATAATCATAGGTCTCCAAGAGAGTAGGGAAAAGTTGAGTGCTGAATTCAAAATGTCAACTGGGCAATCTTATCATATATTCGTTCATTGTTGATGGGAGGTGAACCAACAGTTTTAAGAAATTTAATACTCATGGCCTATGGGCCAATGTATGATTTTGATGATCACGTTCTGAATGGCCACTAGGAATGGCAATGGATGGGGTTGGGGAGGGTTTTTCCAAACCCAAACACAAACTCATGGATTTATCCGAAAAAAAAATTAGGGGCAAAATTATTGGGTTTGAAAAAACTCAAACCTAACACGCTGTGTATCCGCGGGTTCATGAGTACCCATGGATTTTGTGATAAAAAATTTAAAAATAACAATTAACATACCATTCTAGAAAATTAAGCATCAATCTCGTAACACAAACTATCCATACATAAACATACCATTCTAGAAAATTCAAGCAAATCACACACTATCCATACAAATTGTTCAACATCAATCTAGAAATTCAAGAAAGTAAAAAATTATCCATAAACAACCAGATTAATTGAAGTTTCTTCCTCCTTGAGAACTTGAAAATTGTCATCTTCGCTTCACTTTCCGCGTGACAATATGAACTTCATTCTACACATTTAGGTAGACCAGAATTAGACATGTCTCAACAAAAGGAAGAAGAGTTTCTTAAAGAAGATATATTGCTTAGAATAGTAAATATACAGGTAACACATGAAGCACAATCTGGATCTAGGTCATCATTAACAGTGGCATAAGTCATGAGCTTATCAATTGTTTCCAAGAAATCAAACAATCAAAGGTTATCAAATTACCTGTAATTGTTGAATTGAGCAACCAATTTTGAGCACACATCAGAACCTCAACAGTTTCTGGGAGAAGTCTGCTGCGGCTAGGGCTAACTAGTCTTCCACCGGCACTAAAACCATACTCAGAAGCCACAGTAGTCACTGGAATTGCAAGTATGTCTCTAAGAAATCAATGATAAAATCGGATACTTTGTCTCATTTGCCTTCCCCCACAATAAAATGTCAAATCCAGCTGTCTTGAGCAAGACTTTCTCCTTGATGTAGCCATCCAACTCAGTTTCAACATCTACACTCCTAGTAGACAACAATGTTACATACCTATCATATGTTGTCATTCTTCCTCCACCTTTACTAATCGAACTCACATCATGAGACGAATTGCCATCTTGATTCCCATCCACATTTGACCTCTTATAATCCTTCTCCAATTCAACCAACAATTGTCAAACACTCTCAATACATGCCCTTGATTCCTCGCCATAGATATCTCGAAAGTAGCACTCCAACAAGGTAAACTTATATCTTGGATCAAATACAACAGCAATAGCTAAAATATCATGAATAGTACTCCAATACTTCTCAAATTTTGTCATCATGCTTTTGGCCATATGACTAATGAAAACATCATCATCCAACATCCAATTAGAGATGCCCAACTTTATGCCACACACCTTTTCAAAGAACCAATTGGAGGTTGAATATTTAGCCCCTGAAAACAGCTCAGTCACATAATAAAACAACTCCAACCTGTCACAAATCCTTCCTTGCAAACTCCCAATCAGACTCACTAGGTAAAATCTTATAATCCTTCTCCATTTGCTTCAGACGGGGAAAGACAATCTTATACTTCAAAGCAGAACGAAGCATAAAAAAGGTAGAGTTCCACCTAGTTGGGAAATCCAAGGACAAACTTTTTCCCTAAGAAATTTTCAATTGTTTTGTAGTTATTTCAAACTTCTCTTTCCTTTCAGGAGTAGCTTTTATCACATCCATCCATCCTTGACAATCAAGTTAAGGATATGAGCACAACAAAGCATGTGAATTTTAGCCCCGGACCACATCAAATGCTAAGAATTCAACTTATACTTCACCAAGTCAACCAATGCATCATTCGTACTATAGTTATCTAGAGTAATTGCAGACAACTTCGTATCAACATTCCATTCATACAAAGTGTCGATAAGAACCTGAGCAAGTGCTTCACTAGTATGCGGGCAAGGTACATATATGAACATACAACCAAAACATATCAACAAAAAAAAGGTCAGATGCTACAAACACAAAAAAGAAGCTAGAAAAGAGCAAAAATAGGTGATGCCAGTACACAAAAATCACATAAAACAACCCATTAATCACAAAAAACAGCCCCAGAAATCACAAATCAATAAACAATGATTGAATAGGATTAAATACCTAAGAACAAGGTTGTCAAACTGGTTTAAGCCAGTGTGTCGGTTTAGCAAGTGAAATGGTTTGACCGGTGGTACATACCGACTTGTGTCGGTTCATGCGGGTCAATATTACAAACAAATTACAAATATTCATATTTAAACACGACATTTAAAGTCAATACCTAAACATTTGTACTTGAATCCAACAAATAACATCAAAATTTAACTTTTAAACTCATAAAATAAATAATAAATTAATTTTTATAAATTAAATTCACTAAGATAGGATCATTTTACTTAGAGATTCGTATATCGATCATGTTGGTCATACCGGTGGTGTCACGCCGCTTTTATTATCGGTACCGGTTGAACCAAGTTCAACCAATGGCATGCCGGCCGGCGTGACAACCATGCCTAAGAATGTAGCTCCGCATTGTCCAACAAGCATCAATGAAATGGGCAGTCACCACCATAAATCCCTTCTTTGATTAGTGGCAGTCCACATATCGCTAGTAATCGCTATCCTACTCGAATTCTCCTCTATCGTATTCATAAGCATCTTCTTCTCAACCTCAAAGACTTTGAAAATATCACTCTTCACTTTATTTCGGCAATGACACTTGAATAAAGGTTGAATGATGTAGAGAAATCTCCTAAAACCGATATGCTCAACAATAGAGAGAGGGTACTCATGTAAAATAATCATAGAAGCTAAAGCACGCCTCCCTTCTTCCTCATCAAATCTGTTGCCACTTGCTTTGCTGACATCTCCTTTCAAATTCTTTGTCAAAATCATTTGTTTAAGGTCTTTGCATTTTTTCCTCGGACATGTATGTAGAATATGCTGGCGCAAATGACTGGTCCTGTTTTTAGTAGAAGCAGATAAGAGTTTCTTACATCGTATGCGGCCAAACATCACTCTTAAGCCCACTTGAATCAAGGATATCAACATCATTAGAACGTGTTGGTCGTTCACTCTCCATTACACCAGGTAGGTGCTGCAGCAGCACCATTACCACTCTCATTAGTGGGATTGGGAAGCTCAGACTGGGATCCCACAGTAGGTGTAGAAGTA